TTGATGCAAATACAATAGGTGCTTTCTCTGCATTTCATCCTTCACTAAAGTGTTTGCCAAAATCAGAAGTGTAAGACCTTGATAAAAGCACTTGAACTACACATTGTCAATGGGTTGTTTCGTGTTCCATTTCCATAACTGTTGGCTTCATTGTTACTTCTTTGAGCTAAATGTGGCTTAGAACAATGCATTGGCTGTATTTTTCAATATTTTTGAAGCCTCATAGGTGGGAAGTGGCACTCAAAGCTGACATTTATTTAGCCACTTCATCAAGTCCTGAATGTTCCTATTCTTAACCTCAAATGGTGCTTTATTAAAATATTTTTATTGTTGGATATAGGACACTGCTCTTTTTCCATGCCAAAAGATGATGGAAAGAATTTGTACAATTGTCATTGAGAACTTCTATTCTTATATCTGTAGGCTGAGGAAAGGCACTTTGAGATTCTTGGCTGCCTTCTTTACACTGCTAAGCTGGTAGCCAAACAGGAAGGACTGGAAGATGGCTTCAGGGTTGTGATTAATGATGGTCCACAAGGATGTACTTACGGTTTCTTCTTTCTCCATTTTACATGCTTGAATGTGTGTCATGTGTATGTTTTAGAACTTTTATTGATGTAGGAATGTTCCATTGCAGGTCAATCTGTTTATCACATTCACGTCCACCTCCTTGGTGGCCGCCAAATGAACTGGCCTCCAGGCTAAGATGGTGTAAATGTTGATTTGGGCAGGCAAGACTTTCATTGTAATGATAGTACCGTAGTATTTGTTGTCTGCCCTGATTGATGATTGTCTAATCATAAGTAAGCAAACTACTTACTAGTTGCTTTCTAGTAAGATGCTATTGATGTTCCATGGCACTATCTGCAGGGCTTGCTCCTATGCTGGGTAAAGCCAATGACCTTTGTTAAGTATAAAAATAATATGCTGTGACTTAGCTATGCCCTGTGTTCCCCATTTTCTTCAAGTTTCCAAGTGAAGTGATGTCAATTTACTTTTTGATGCTTTGAGCCATTCTTTGAATGTGTTTGGAAGCTTGTGAAAGATTTTGAAGCGTTAGACTGCAGGAATAAATAGTAAGATGGGGTGAAAGATGGGCATAACAACCCAAACGGGCGCCGGTTTTTTCAAACCATTAACTTAGGAACCATGTCCTGCAACATTACATGGTTCAAGACAAGTGATTTGGGTTTTTGAAACTGTGTTACCAGTATAAGAGGGTCGCTCTTTTCTCCCTTCTCTTCCAGGTTCTGATCTCCCCAGTCCATTTCAAAAACAGATTAATCATATTAGGACCGTGAGATTCTTAAAATTTTACTTCGTTGTGACCCGTTCTTTATTGAATCTCAATCAACAGTAAGGGAGAAATGCTA